TTGTTTGCGACCAGTAAATACCGTCGCAGTGGCCTTTGCGCATGCATGATTCTTCCTTTCAGTGTCTTTCATTTAATAAAACATGCCGGCAAGTTTGGGTTGCTAATCACAATAGCATACAACAAAGCAAGAAAGCTTATAAAATATTGAGCCACTCTGTACCTCTGATAGAACATCTTGCGGTAATTTTTCGCGTGAAGAATGCTAAAGTCATGTCTATTATGCATAAAAAGTTCAAAATTAAACATTTGATACATCATTTTATATAAGTTTATCCTTGCAGTCTTTTGATAATAATCATAAGTTTAAAAGTTTCATTATCTACACAAAACGAGAGAGCAGAAACAAAGCATTCGGTCACACCATAACCTTCCTCAGTGTCTGTTATTGTGAGACTGAACACTGCTCACCAAAGTGTCAGTAATTGTATCAATCCAAACACGTGCGCCTCGCTTATTGAATTGATTTTGACATTTTATTGGTGTCAAACACTTCAAATATCATTATTTGTAACGTGATATTCCTATAAATATAAAAAACCTCTTGATAAGCATTATACTGAAATGAAATTATATTACGTATAATTTTGTTATGACGTCTTCACTTTATGCGGCAATTGAATTTTAAGCTAGATCTGTCACAACCGGCCGTACGGGCTCTTACGGGCTGTTTGCGGCAAAATTTTGCGAAATTTCGAGTTTGCAGACAGCTCGTAAGCACGTACGGAGGATATTGGGCATGTCCAAAAGATTATACGAATAGCATGCGAACAGCGAGGCACCAAGCGTAACTTGCTCCAGTAGCAAGGACTTCGCAAGTGAGAAGTGCGCGGCCAAGACGCACGTCGCAAACAATGAAGGAGCTAGTGGCCTTTGCGTGCTGGGTACGGCGCAAGCCCTCACAGCTGACGAACAAAGTCGAAAGCACACCTAAAGCCTAGGTCCCAACTACGTTTTGGACGCACGGTGTTTAGGTTCATTGCGTTCGGCTAGGACGCAGCTAGATTGCACGTAGCGGCTGTTGATCATGTTGAAAAGTTTCTTCAAGCTGTTTACGTCCTCCAAAAGTCGCACGATGGACGTGCTCCTCACGCACGAACTCCCACGTTTTCCCCATGTTTTTGGCCGTAGACTACAGGTAACAGCCCGTACGTTTGGTTGGGACCTAGGCTTAAAATGCATCGCATGTGCGTCACCCCCACGCCTGAAGTATAAAAGGTGTGCACACGACGCACTCTCGTGTCTCGACAATAAACGTCGATTGTGCAACGGGTACAACAAATTACAAAAAATTCAAATTTCACTCAATTCTACTTCTAATATGCCTCCAAAAGACAAGAGAAAGAAGCTGAGAGAAAAGAAGGGGGAAGGTAGAAGAAAGAAGGGGAAAACAGGAGGCAAAACTGACGTACGCCATCAACACGTCATCATAAGTGTGTGAGACAAGTGTGAAGCAAAAATGACGCAAAAGGGAACTACTTTCGCCGTACGTTGCATTCTATTCGTAAGTGGTTAGTGCGTGCCACGTATGCAGGTGGCAAAACAAAGTCAGGAAATGAGTACAATTTCCACAGCCATCGCACCTTGCAATTAGCGTCCCGGCCTGAAAGGACATCTCAAGTGGCCCATCCGACTCGCAAGGCAGACTTGCGCCTTTCCATTGAAACCTTTCCTCTACCTCTACGAACTCTACGTCCTGCACTGCACCCAAAATTCGTAGGGGACGTAAGGTCCTAAAATTCGTGCGTCCGGTTGTGACCGAGGCTTAAGTAGCGTTTGAGGCTATAATTGCGTTGCATTTGCTAAGGCTTCGAGATAGCAGGTGGGTGCAATCGCCATCGCAAATATTGATCGCTGTGCTGACTATTTGCGAAGCTTTCGACTTATAGACCCCAGGGGCACAGGCATAGCGATTTGCAAGTTTTTTTTCTCAGAGGAACAGAGTGACTCAATCTTTCATAAGCTTGAAACCGATGCATTTATCAATGTTTTACGACGTTTTATTGCGCGTCGTGGGAACGTTGCAGAACTGTGGAGCAATAATGGAACTAACTTCAAGGACACCCACATAGAACTACAGCAGGCATTTGAAAACATGAAGCACGGTGTCATTCACAACGATATGCATAAAGCTGGAGTATTTCATTCCGCCTACAGCAAGCAATATGCGTATTATAATGTTTGCAGAGATGGAAATACATCTGTTACTATGTACCAGTCAATAACTCAAAAACAAATCTTTAAATTTCACTTTTATTGTTCACGCACATTTGTAGCTATCTATAGTGAATTCTGAGTTAAATTCTGGAGTGAATTCTAGGGTGAGTTCTGAATTGAGTTCTGAGGTGTTTTCTGATGTGGTGAAACTAAAAAAAAAGTAAAATAGATAGATAATAATAATTATAATAATAATTAAATAAATATATTACATTAAGTGTACCCACAAATGCAAGATAAAGAACGGAGAGAGATAGAGAGAGAGAGAGAGAGAGCGATACGAACACGCAAATATCGACAATATGATTAAAACTATGAAATTAAATATATAGAACGTTTCGCAATTTGCGCAATTGCGCAAGTCCCTTTTTGCGAACAGACCCTTTCACGGACGTTTCGCAATGTAATTTTGCGCAAAATAATGCGCTATTTACGCAGGATATTTGGTACAGCTCCGACCGTGTCGCTAAGTCTTTGCGCATGCGTAACTTGGCGTTCACCTAGCGCAATGGCTGCAGCTTTTCTTGTCGTGCGAAACGGCAGTTGGCGGATTTACATGCCGCGGCGTGATGTCTTAGAAGAGCAGACAGAGAGGGGAGTACTGAGGAGGTACAGGCTGTCGAAGAGGGGCATCAGGATGCTGACGGAGAAGATTGAAGGCCAGCTGCGGCGTAAAACAGCAAGGTCCCAAGCACTCTCCCCCACCACACAAGTTCTTGCCTGCCTTGGCGTGCTTGCGACCGGTAGTTTTCAGGCTGTGATTGGCGACAGCCTAGGGATCTCTGCTGCCTTTGTGTCCCATTCAGTCCATAATGTGGTGGGAGCCATCTTACCATCAGATTCCCCACAACACAAATCGAGGTCAGAGCCGTGAAGGGTGGCTTTCACCTCATCGACGGATTCCCAAATGTCATTGAGGCGATAGACGGAACATTAGTTCCCATAGCAGCGCCACATAGAGTGAAAATTTATATGTTTGACGCAAGGGCTATCATGCTCTGAATGTTCAAGCCGTGTGTGATTCTACACTAAGGTAAGTGCGCTACTTTCGTTATATTGTTTACATTTTACACTTACGCTACTATCGCAATCACAACTGTCGCAATCACTTTATTTAGTTACAATGACGATGACTTATTATGCTAAATAAAGGAGAATGTTATTATTCTCGAACATTTAGTAGCAGGGGTAGATTATTTTAAGGGAGGTCCTCGGATGCAAAGCTGACCCCCCCTCCAACTAGGCGTGCTGTTCGGGGCTCAGTGAAGGGGCCATAAAATGTTTGGTATTTCATATGGCAAACGATGCCATTGATTTATAACTATGAACCAGCTAGTCAAATTTTTAATTTCAATAGGGGGCCGGGGGGGGGGGGGGGACCCTGACACGTCCTTTAAATCCGCATACCTATAGATCCACGTATTTTTAGATCCAAATACCGATAGATCCGTTACAGGTACACTATTGCTCAAAATAGTTGGTATACTACTCAGTACATAAAATGCACTTCTTTAAAGCGACAGTACACATATTAATCCTTCCAGCAATATATTATTCTACTAGATCGTTTTCACACAATACTCTGTGAAAGAACATAAAAAGAACAAAAATGTGTTCTATATTTCACAACGCTTTCTGTTCTAGCGTCAGAACACTGTTTAAAGCGTTCTTAAAATGTAACATTCGAACACCTTTCAAACAATTACATTCTGCAGAAAGACGAAATCATAAACTTTCAAATGATATATCATAAGGTATGTCTCCTACAATTTTTACCCATTTTGTGTGGGGAAATTAGTGCATCTCCAAAACGACGACAAAAATGGAACCCCATTTTCATCATAATTTATAGCGTCACGTGACCAACCTGACGCACTGACCCGACTTAGCAAGACTACAAGTTTTCTTAAATATTCTGAATATCAGAGCAAACAAGTCACAATAAAATTAAAATACGAATAAGTGCAGTACATCTAACATCAGAAATATTCCAAGAGTTATAGGCCTATACGTCATTCTTAAAACATCAAAGTTTACGATCCAATCCACAAGAAATCCAGTGTGAATTTTGACCAATATAGAAAGATATTGCTAGATCTAGGTATGAATAAAACAATAAATTTTTTAATTGAATAAATATTTACAATGAAGTACTGGCCTATGACCAGGTTGTACTTTTTAAAGCCTGAAAGGGTTTTGATAAAAAAAAATATATATATATTCAACGCTTGTTTAATCATTATATTAAGATATGCACTTCTGCCTTGTTCTCTTATTTTACTGCTCAAGATTTATTTCTATGTACTAGTACTATTTTTGTCTCTTACATACTAAACTATTTAAAATACAGGGTAAGACCCTTCCAATTATAATTTGAAAAAATATCCCTAATCTATTTAAAATTTACATTTGTTTTTAAAAGTGCAAAATATTGAAATCTGTTTGATAAACAACACTAAGTAAACATTTAAAATTCATGTCCTTAAAGCACTGTCCCTGGGAAATGTTCATTCAACCTCATGAATATGCACTGAACTTTTTGAAAGTTTTTTGAAACTTTTTGCCTTTTAAATTAAAGCAGTTATCAAGGCTCCAATAAACTCGTTGGCCAACTTGATCTGTCTATTCTGAGGGCAGGAGAAGCACCTGCCCCAGCAAGTTATGAATATTACTTTAGCCAAAACTGACATACAATCAAGATCATCCCCGGCTGAAAATTCTTGAATATAAATTTGTAATTAAATACATATAAAAGTAAAATGCATTAAAAATGAAAAAAAAAAAAAGAAAACTTCAGTATACGAGTATGTTTCAATTTTTTTTTATTTCCTTAGAATCTTCAGTGGCCAGTTCATTTACCTGCTGGATATGACAATCAGAAAACTAAATCAATTTAAGTTCAAAATTGGACCGTCTTCCCAGATTGCCACCCTGCCACCCAGCGGTTGATAGAATCATTGAATAAATGATCATCAAAACTTGGCCCCTATAAAACTGCTGTCAAAATTTTGTTAACTTAAGCATAATATTCCCCAAACGACCTCCAGTCAGATTCAATTCTTTTGAGAGCACTGTATCCTCTTTCCAACTGAGAAGTGGACAGGCTGAACAAGGCAATTTAAATTAGCATTATTGTATGTATTCTAATCTTTGTCTGTTCTCCTTGCCTTGAAACAAATCAGTACACATATCTTTACTTTTATTCACTAAAAACATGCCACCTGTGTGCTCTTTAAAGGCAGGCCACTCTCAATGGAAGTCTTTTGGGTCAAAGCCCATCCTGTTTAATACTTGAAGAAAGTATTGTTCCAGAACTTGTTTGCTATGAGAAAGGTTTCTAGGGTAAACAATATCCAAGACTCTACAAAACACCATCTCTTGTTCAGTCACACCTGCATCAACAGCACCATCACACAAAATCGCATGGAAATATATTTTTCCTGGTCTTGACTAGAACACCTCTTCCCTTATTGTCAGCTGATATGAAATTCGGGAATCTGTTAAAAATAAATATAATTAAATGATAAAATCATACGTGTATGTAGAAACAAGACATTTATACATAGCAGATAAAAACTGAAAATTAATGAAAATCCATAGATTAAAAAATAAATAAAACTAACCTCATTGTCAGTCTCACACCAGTTGTTTATCAAAGTAATTTCTTACTATACTATATAGTATTAATAATTCCTTGGTCCTACTAGTAATAGGCTAGTTATAAAAATAATGAAGTATTGGCTTATATATATATATATATATATATATATATATATATATATATATATATATATATAAACACTTAATTATTTTCTGCTTTGTCTAACTGGTATCTTTTCATCATTTCATGCCATCAAGTCCATTCTCATGCGATAGCTTAGGCAGGGATAGGTATGCTGTCAACATTTCACTAAAACTGAAAAAGCACAATGCATAGGTCATAAAGTTAAACTGCGCATATATTGGTCATAAAGTGTGGCTCTGCCTTGACAAACGATTTTTTTAAACTTGTTAAATTTGAAGACTTTTTTTAATACCAACAATTTCAGATAAATTGAGTAAAATTGTTTTAAAAATCAAAATATTTAAACTTATAATGTAAAACAACTTTGAAACCTGTCCAAGAAAGACCTTGAGTACACCTGTAATGCTGATTGCGCAATGTACTAGTTAACAGGTGTGCATAGACACACACACCCTATTTCGAAAAGGTCTAGATTCCAACTCCATAAAGGAAATAGAGCGGATAAAGGTACGCTAGTAGGCTTACACATTTTATGTAAACAAAGTACAACTATAACTTTGCAACAAAATATAACATTTCACTGGTACTGAACGTCAACAAGTGCATCTAAACTATGCGAAGGGTGGTTACTCCAAAATCATTTCTATACATTTCGGCGCTTTTATGAAACTTTGTGAATGCAAAAAAAAAAAAAAAAAAAAAAAAAAAAGGGACTCACCTTTTAGTCTGCAAACCCAAAGCTACGTAACTTGAAAGGCAAACGGCAGATTTTTCCATTCTAAAAAAAAATGTTATGGTCGATCTGCAGCACCTATGTCGTTTTTTCACGTATTATTTTCCATAACAACTCTCACTATGACAGTGACACATTGTATACTATGAATAAACACTTGAAAAAGCTGAACATTTAATTTTTTTGACTGAAATGCAAGATTTACGGAGAAAAACGCTCTCGAGACACTTGCTCAGTGCAACGTGACAGTCCCAGTTTCGACTGACCTACATAGTTCGCACTAAATAGGGATTTCACAAAAAAAGGACGGTTGTACAAATTTTGTATTCTTTTTGGCTCAATTCCAGCATATATAGTTGCATAAATCGTTATAATATCAATAAAGTAAGTTTGTCCATTTTTTTCTACAATCATTTCATTTTAGGGTACAAAATTACACGATCTGCTTGAGAAAAATGCGTGTGCTAATTTTAGACAACTGATACAAGGCTTTCGTCGAAACTGAAATGTTCATTACGTTGTGCGTTTACATCAAGTTCTAAATTTTATTTTTTGAAAGTTTCAAGCGGAATAATGAGTTATTCACAGAGATTCATGGATTTATATAACAACTAAGGATTTTTGAAAACATGGCACGAAACACACGTCGCAGACTATTTTGTGCAAGCGCGTAGGTGTTTTTGTAATGATCACCGCTTACGCATTGATATGCAAGATCTGCGGACACACTGCGGCCCTGGCTTTTCCAGGAAGAACCAAAAAAAGAAAGTTGAAACAGTTTCCATATAAGGATATACAACTGGTGTCAAAATCAATGACTCAGGCTTACCCCACTTACTCTTGCAGAAGATAGAGGCCACAACAGAAGGAGAACAAGAGAAGTTTAAATTCCCCTGCCTTCAATACGGTAAGTAAAAAAAAAAAAAATAATAAAAAATAAATAAATAAATAAATAATAATAAAAATAATGGAAAGAATGTTGTTTACCAAACAGCCTGTACCAAAATGGATATATATATATAAGCACAAAATATGATCATAATATTCCTAGATATCGTTAAGCATGCAAGCAGGAATATTTACAATATAGTATGAATATAAGAAATCTAATATATTTCTTGGAACACTTCAGCCTTAAGCAGCACCCATAGTTAGGTTGCTACATCATTTCTTCTTACTTTATTCTTACAACCTCACATCATATCTGTGTTAATTACCACAAGTTTTGGCTTGATAAAAAAGAAAGATAAAGATTAATGAAAGGTATTTAATACCAACAGATGATTCCATATTGCTATTATTCTGAATGACTTATCTGAATAACTAATGTGGTCAGTGTTTGCGAAGATGAACATACATTTGTTTGCAAGTTTTGAGCAGAAGTATTGAGTACCTGTGAAAGAAAGCTGATTAAGTTCTGACTTCAGTTCATTCCATAACAGGACTATTTTTTACTTCTCTTACTGTTGTTGCTGTGGAAGTAGTAAAGCAAATCGTTTTCGACCTACCCACATGAAAATGCAGTAGTATCGAAGTAGCAAAGAAGCATTAACGCAGTAGTGGTGTGGATCATATTTGTTATTTTAAAAGGGGATCGGGGAGAACGTTTTAGAATATGGTGAATTCCCTCAGTTGTTTAGATGTAAATGAGGTAAGCTGTTATTTTTAGTTACCCTAGGTAGAAACCAGCTTGTCACATGTCTTATCAGTTTGAAAGCCGCGTGGATTACTTGAAGGGTAAACAAACATAGGTTGCTAAGCATTAACACTTTGTTAGGCAGTGCGATATTCTTGTTTTTCTGTTAAGCGGAGAATGTAATGTAAATGGAGAGCGATGAAAGAGTTTGAAGGAAGAGGGCAATAATGTAGATAAGGTAGTTAGGAAGTGGCAACAAAGAGTATGCAGGAAAATGAAAGTTGTTTAGTTCTTACCTCTCGTGATCAAAAAGACAAAGTCAGTACCATTGTGACAGGTATACTAATTTGTCTTGATATGAGCCTGCCTTTTCCAAGACGAACCAAAAACAGTTTAAATAGTTTTCCATACGTGGATATCCAATTGGTGTCATAATCAATGACTCAAGCTCACTCCACATACTTTTGCAGAGAATAGTGACAAAATGAATGAGATACTAACTGAAATGCAGATTATAAAGAGTAAAAGACAAAGTCCATCACTTAAGCAAATTTTAACAAAAGCAAAATTTGAAAACAATTCCAGGACAAATGTGGAAACCTCAACAATACGAGTACAGAAATATAAGGTACCCAGGTGCGGCACCTGTCCACTTATTAAAAAGGGGAGCCATCTGACATTTAAAAATGGACTTACATCTACAATTAAACACCCATTCACCTGCACTAGCTCAAATTTAATTTATGTATTAACTTGCAGTGGATGCGGTGAGAACTATATAGGACAAACCGGAGACACTCTCCGACAAAGAATGACCGTTCACAGACAACAAATAAGACCACCTAAATATCAGTGCACGTCTGTGAGTGGGCACATTAGGGAATGCTCTATGAACAAAAACAAGGACTTTACGGCATTCCCATTTTATAAATTCACTAGGGAAACAGAAAGGAAAATTAAAGAAAACATATTTATTAATTTATATAAACCTACATTACAGTCTGTCCGCAGATTTTCGAGCTGCGCGTGCACACTGGCTGAAGCGACGGCCATTTTCGCACTACTTTCAGCAAAATCGAGTGAAAATGGACGGCTTTTGAGCTCTTCGTATTTTCATGTGTATTTTTGTCAACAGTTGGTGTGATTAAACGATAGATACATAAAAAGAAGCGGGAATATCTAAGGATTCGGAATTTTAAGGTTAGTTGTCATAAAAAATAGATTCAGAACGGTAACATGGAAGATTTATCCACGCTGGTGATTGCAAATGGTGTCCCGTTTCAGGTGTCCGAAATTTTCTATTTAAAGATTTTTATAAGAAGTTTAAATTGTAGAAATTTTCAAAAACAAATTCATGAAAGCTGGTTAAACTGGCTTTCTGGCAGTATAAATATTTTATGAATTCAGCTTTGTCAATTTTTTAAGCGCGAGGTGAAGGAGACGCCAAGCACTCGCGTTTTTAAAGCGTATAACATTGGGGCGTTTAAATTATAACAAAATTGCTATAATGTTTATATCACCAGCGTTTTATAGAAATTCTAAAAACTAACCAAGTGGGCTTCGTGTTGATATGAAATATATGTTGCGTTCGGCTCCCATCTGGTTGGCAAAGTGNGAAATTCTAAAAACTAACCAAGTGGGCTTCGTGTTGATATGAAATATATGTTGCGTTCGGCTCCCATCTGGTTGGCAAAGTGTTAATAATCCCGTGAAGTTGGTGCAAAAGTTGGCAAAACCGATTTTTTCAAGTGCGGTAGGTTACTGTGATTATGTATCGCAGGAAACGCGAAATATTTTCAAACATTTACATTTTCCAAAAAGACAAAATCATAAATTTTCAAATGATATATCATAAGGTATGTCTCCTACAATTTTTACCGATTTTGTGTGGGGAAATTAGTGCATCTCCAAAACGACGACAAAAATGGAACCCCATTTTCATCATAATTTATAGCGTCACGTGACCAACCTGACGCACTGACCCGACTTATATATATAATATAATATAATATAATATAATATAATATAATATAATAAGATTCTTATATGGCGCCTTACATTCTATCTCAAGGCGCCTTACAATAATGGCTAATATACTAAAATAATTAAAATGACTACAACAGCCCGGGAG